AACAGACACTGAGTGAGTAGAAGATTAGACAGGGGTATAAAAACAACAATTTTAAAAGATGTGATGGCCAGGTGCAGTGGCTCACGCTTGTAATCCCACAACTTTGGAGGGCCGAGGCAGGCGGATCACCTGAGGTCAGGAGTTCGAGACCAGCCTGGCCAACAAGGTGAAACCCCATCTCTACTAAAAATACTAAAATTAGCTGGGTGTGGTGGTGCATGCCTGTAATCCCAGCTACTTAGGAGGCTGAGGCAAGAAAATTGCTTGAACCCAGGAGGCAGAGGTTGCAGTGAGCCGAGATCTTGCCACTGCACTCCAGCCTGGGTGACAGAGTGAGACTCCATCTCAACAACAACAAAAACATGTGGCTTTGGGGGTGGTTCCCACCATTCCCTGCTGATTCTCTATATAAACAAATACTATATGGTTTATGTTCAACACCTGCTTTCCCTCTGAGAATCTGGAATTTTGTCATATGTTAGGCAGTGGGTGCCTAATCAGTACCTGGGGCACTGAGTCCGCAAATGAGCTTCTCTGGCAGAAAACCTTTCATATATGTTGAAGGAATTAAGCACGTCCTGTGTGATTCCACTAGGAGATAACTCTGGGAAGCTTGTGCTTACTTCCCTTTGGACCAAAGCACCTTTCCCCTTAGCTGATTTTGCTTTGATTCTTTGCTGTAACAAATCATAGCTGTGAATAAGATTATATACTAAGTCCTGTGAGTCCTCCTGTTGAATCACCAAACCTGGGGACTGTTTTGAGGACCTCCAATGCCAGTGCTAGGTTGTGCTTCCACTTTATATTTGCAAAGCTACTGTGTTTCGTTCCCAGCTGAAAACAAATGAAAAAGACAAAAAACAAACAAAAAAAACCCCTAAATATTTTGATTAGCCTGTTTCAGGGCCTAAATATGGATCTAATGATAAAAGGTATACAAACACAACTCACTGCAACCTCCAACTTCTAGGCTGAAGTAATCCTCCCACTGCAGCCTCCCCAGTAGGTGGGATTACAGGTAGGCATCACCATGCCCAGAAATTTTTTTGTTTTGGTGGAAACAGTGTCTCACTGACCAGGCTGGTCTCAAACTCCTGGCCTCAAGCGATCTTCCAGCCTTGGCCTCCCAAAGTGCTGAGATTACAGGTGAGAGCCACTGTGCCTGGGCTATCTGGGTAGTTTGATAAGGGCAGGGGCTATGTCTGTTTTGCTTACCAATGTTTACTACCTACTCAGCACAGTATCTGGCACACAGTTGGGACTCAATTACATAACTGAAAAACATAAATCAAAGCACGTATGTTCTTGCAATATACATTATATACATATTATAACTTTGTGGATATGCTATGAAAAATTGCTAATGGGCCTGGCACAGTGGCTCACGCCTGTAATCCTTGCAGTTTGGAAGGCCAAGACAGGCGGATAGCTTGAGCTCAGGAGTTTGAGACCAGCCTGGGCAACATGGTGAAACCCAGTCTCTATAAAAGATACAAAAATTAGCCAGAAGTGGTGATGTACACCTGTAGTTCCAGCTACCTGGGGGACTGAGGGAGCAGGATCACTTGAGCCCTGGAGGTTGAGCTACAGTGGGATGAGATCGCGCCACTACACTCCAGGCTGGGTGACAAAGTGAAAGAAAAAGAAAAGAGAAAAACTGTTAATGATTTGGATTAAATAACAATAACAAAAAGAAAAAAAAAAATTGCTATCTCAAAAAGAAAAAAAAATTGCTAATGATTTGGATTAAATAACAATAAAATAGAAAAGGAAAACTTGATCTAAATTACACCCAACATTTTCCCAAGTGAAAATACCTGGGCTGTTGCCTCTTTCAAAGTTCCACCTACCCATCCCACAGGAACTTCAACAGGTCCAAAACTAAACCAGATAAACTTGTATAGGCATTTCCTGGAATTTCTGCTCTGGCATTTAATTATGTATGTGGCCTTACACAAGCTTCTTAATATCGCTGAGTATTAAGGTTCCTCGTCAGCATAACAGACAAAATACCTATCTTAATAAAGCGTTGGAGGTCAGGTGCAGTCATTCACCCCTGTAATCCCAGCTACTCAGGAGGCTGCAACATGAGAATTGCTTGAACCTGGGAGGCGGAGGTTGCAGCGAGCTGAGATCACGCCCCTGCACTCCAGCCCGGGCCACAGAGCAAGACTCCGTCTCAAAAAAAAAAAAAAAAAAAAAAAAAAAGTGTTGTAAGGAATAAGCAGATAAGTAAGGCACTTACCAAGATAAGGGCTTAATATATGGACTGTTCTCTAATGACACCAGTCACTGGAGATAGACATCTCATCCTTCCTGATTCCTCTGACTTCCTCTCTTCCTTTTTCCACTATCATCTACTTAAATGTCTTATACAGTCTTATCTAACGACCATCTCCACATTGTTGATTAGGAGACACACATGGGCTTGCCCTATGAGTTTAAATTTTAAGATGGAATTCACAGAGAAGCAAATTTCAAATAAATTTAAACAACCTTTTCCTTAATACTTTTAGTTCTCCATATGTCTGCATGCAAAAGAGAGAGCAAGAATCCAAAAGAAATCATCTGCCTTTAAGGAGAAAAGGAATAATTTAAAATTAAAATATGCACTGTGGAAAAATGCAGCAGCATGGAAGGGGATAGAATAGAAATGGAAGACAGGGTTATAAAATATGCTGAAGCAGGACAGAAGATAGGGTTTTTTTTTTTTTTTTTTTTTGGAGACAGGGTCTCACTCTGTCCACCCAGGCTGGAATGCAGTGGCGCGATCTTGGCTCACTACAACCTCCACCTCCCAGGTTCAAGCAATTCTCCTACCTCAACCTCAAGTAGCTGGGAGTACAGGCACACGCCACCATGCCTGGCTAATTTTTTTATTTTTAGTAGAGACAGGGTTTCACCACGTTGGCCAGGCTGGTCTCGAATTCCTGGCCTCAAGTGATCTACCTGCCTCGGCCTCCCAAAGTGTTGGGATTACAGACGCGACACAGGTGTGAGCCACTGCACCCGGCCAGAAGATAGGGTCAAACACCAAAAACAGCAAGGTCTGATTTGATGAGAAAAATCTCTGAAGCATTCCAGTTGTCTGTTTATATATAAATGAAGCACCTATAAAATGATGGATGTTGTCAAGAATGTATTGGGCCCTAATCTTAGATAGTTTAAGCCAAGAAAGACACAAAACAGGTGAATGTAAAACGACGTGTTTTTCTGAAGGGCACTACATTAAAAGTTGGATTCAATTGAGGGAATGTGATACAATTTCAGAAACTAAAACAATGCAGTGGGGAAGTGCCTAAATAATGTGCTGAGGCTGGAAATAGTACAAGTCTGGTTTGTGGTGAAGGAAAAATAAAGTCACTGCTAAAGAATGCAGCTTGTCACCAAAAGCTGTATCTTTTCCTCCAGTAGGAAATAAGAGCCAGCTCTTCTGATCTTTCTCTTTATTATCCTTACAAGCTGCTGCTGGCACCACCTTCTTCCCAGCTGCAGTCTCCTACTGGGAAATGTTTTCTCTGAATTTTGCCAGACTGACACTTAAGATTATAAAATGGAGGATTTAGAATAGTTGGTCTCAACATATATTCTAGTTCTGATGTTCAATGAAATTTTGACCAAAACAAAAACCCCAGATCAGCATTGATGCAGTTCCTGAACAATTACACACAGATTTAAAAGCTAGCATCACATCTATCTTCCTGATAAATATAATTTTTTTTTTTTTTGAGAGAAGGTCTCATTCTGTTACCTGGGCTGGAGTGCAGTGGCACAATCTTGGCTCACTGCAGCCTCGACTACCGCCCAGGCTCAGGTGATCTTCCCACTTCAGCCTCCTGAGTAGCTGGGACTACAGTCCCATGCCACTATGCCCCGCTAATTAAAAAAATAAATTTTGTGGAGACAGTGAAAACTTGTTGCCCAGGCTGGTCTCCAACTCCTGGGCTCAAGCAATCCCCCTGCCTTGGCCTCCCAAAGTGCTGGGATCCCAGGAGTGAGCAGTCAAGTCCAGCCTTAAAAAGTACATCTCGGCATTGAGGAAATACAGTATTACGATAAGGTGAAGGCCTCTATTAACTTTAACATCTTAGAGATAAATTCACATTCTATTTCCCTATTTAAAATACACAATTCAATGGTTCCCAGTGTGTTCAGAGCTATGCAACCATCATTTATCAATTTTAGAACATTTTCATTACCCCCAAAAGAAAGTGTACTCATTAACAGTCACTCCCCCAAACTCCTCGGCCCTAGGCTACTACTAACTAATTTGGTTTTTGTCTCTATAGATGTGCCCTATTCTGGGCATTTCATAGATAAGCATTACTCAGATGTGTGGGTTTCATTCCAGACCACCCTAATAAAACTGATCACAGATCACCATAAAAGATATAATAATGGAAGGGTTTGAAAGCACAAGAATTACCAAATGTGGCAGAGAAATGAAGTGAGCTGCTGGAAAAATGGTGCCAAAAGAATTGTTTATTGCAGAGCTGCCACAAAACCTTCAAGTTGTGTAAACACACACACACACACACACCCCCACACACCTGTCAAGTGCAATAAAACAAGGTATTCCTGTGTATGGCATCATACTAATATGTGGTCTTCTGTGGCTAGCCTTTCACTTAGCATGTTTTCAAAGTTCACCCATGATGCAGCATTTATCAGAATTGCAATCCTTTTTATTGCTGAATATTCCACCACCATTTTCTTTAGTCAGTGATGGACATGGGTTGTTTCTACTTGTTGGCTGCTGTGAATAACAGTGTTATGAAAATTAATGTATAAGGTTTTGTACATGTTTTCATTTTATGGGCTATATATACCAATGACTGGAACTCTGCAAAACCTTTTGTAGAACTGCCAAACTTTTCCAAAGCACCTGCACTATCTTACAATCCCATCAAAAGCTGTATTGGTAAGTGATGGTTGCATAACTCTGAACACACTGGAAACCAATGAAGTGTGTATTTTATTTTATTTTATTTATTTATTTATTTTTTTTCAAGATTTTGTTTTATTTTATTATGGCTAGAAAGACACTGTTAGAGCCAAAATCGGCAATGACACTAAAGAAATCCTCTGAGCTTTTCAATATGCAAATATATTTCTTCCAAGAGTTGCCCTGGGGTGATTTCAAGAGTTCATGTCAACTTCTTTTCTGGAAACTTCCTTTTCTTAGTTGTTGTATTCTTGAAGAGCCTGGGCCATGAAGAGCTTGCCTAAGTTTTGGGCAGTGAACTCCTTGATGTTCTGGCAGTAAGTGTTTATCTGGCCTGCAATGAGCAGCGAGTCCATCCTGGCAGGGGGCTGTGGCGGTTTGAAGAGTTTGGACAGGTCCTCCTCAGGGAGCGGGGGTTCTCCTCGGCTCTGGCGCTGCATATTCTCCTGCTGGCGACGCTGCTGATACTGATGTTTCTGCTGCTGTTGTTTACTAGTATTCCTCATGTATGTGTTGTATTTAACTATATCTTGGCTCATTTCATCCACTCTGTCCATCAGCAACTGTAGATTCTTCCCCAAATGATTGCTGCTGGCAAGGCTGAGCAACTCATGTTTATCTGCAACAGCTGACTTCTTTTCAAGTTCCCACATTAGGACATTGATCAGATGTGAATTTTTAATTACAATCGGCACTTCTTCAAACATGTACTCAAAGGTGATATTTGCTTTTTTCAAAGCTTCAGGGGAAAAATCCTTTTCTTTACAAACTTCCATCAGTTTAGGAGTCAGTCTGTAAGCCTTTAGTGAGAGAGACCCTTGGGCAGTTTTTATGGGATCATAAATGAGAACGACAGATTCTTCAATGGCATGCTGGTAACTGAACTGAGAGTCCAGGAGCGCCCAGGTAACGAATGAGCCATAGTATGTGGACTGGTACCAGCCCACATGAAGATGATCAATGTTTACATGGCGAAGGCTCCGCATCATTTCCATCTGATATTGGACTTCATCAAAGTCAGCATCATCCTCTGTGTGCTGAGGGAAAGGAAAGCAGTTGGTAATTTCAAGCCGATCTTCTACAACCAGGCCCAAAAGCACTCCTTGAACAACTTCAGTTCCTTGTCCTTCTTCTTGATAATGTTTGATTATCTTTAATACCACGAGGCCATCTATCTGCACTTGCTTCACGGCTGAATCTCCGGAGCCGCCTTTGCCTTTGCCTTTGCCTTTGCCTTTCCCTGCTCCGCCGGTGGTGGAGCTGGAAGAGGTGGCAGTAGAGCCGGTGCCTTCCTTGCGGGACGCCATCTTTCCAGACAGACAGGAAGAAAGCTGAAGTGTGTATTTTAGAAAGGGAAACAGAATATTCCAGTTTCTCTACATCATTGCTTAAACTTATCTTTTTTTATTATAACCATTCAAGTGGATAAGATGTATCTCATTGTGACTTTGATGTGCCCTCTCTGACAGCAAATTACCTTTTTGTTATCTCCTGGACATGAGTCCCTTATCAGACCAATGATTTACAAATATTTTCTTTGAGAGGCTGAGGCAGGCAGATCACCTGAGGTCAGGAGTTCAAGACCAGCCTGGCCAAAATGGTGAAATCCTGTCTCTACTAAAAAAATTAGCAGGGGGTGGTAGTGCACACCTGTAATCCCAACTACTTGGGAGGCTGAGGCACAAGAATTGCTTGAACCTGGGAGGTAGGGTTGCACTGAGCCAAGACTGTGCTGCTGCACTCCAGTCTGGAAGACAGAGGGAGACTCTGTTTCAAAACAAAAACAAAAACAAAAAACAAAAAAACCCCAAATATTTTCTTGCATCCTATGGGTTATCTTTTCACCTTCTTGATGTTCGCTTTGAAGAACAAATTTTAAATTTTAATGAAATTCGACTCTGGTTACTTTTACTTTCAGTATCCTAAGAAGTCTGTCAAACCCAAGGTCATGAGCACTTGCTCCTATCTTTTCTGAGAGGTTTATAAAGTTTTAGCTCTTACATTTAGGTGTATGAACCATTCTGAGTTAATTTTTGCATACAGTAAGAAAGGGGTCCAACTTCACTTAACTATGTGGTTATATGTAGGTGTCCCAGCATCATCCGTTAAAAACTGTTCTGGGGCCTAGTGCATTGGCTCACACCCGTAATCCCAGCCGGGGCAACATGGTGAAACCCCGGACCTACAGAAATTAGCCAGGAGTGGTGATACATGCCTGTACCCTCAGCTACTCGGAAGGCCAAGGCAGGTGGATCACCTGAGGCCAGAAGTTCGAGACCAGCCTGGCCAAAAAATAGAAAAACTTAGCTGGGGGTGGTGATACGTGCCTGAAATCCCAGCTACTCAGGAATCTGAGGCAGGAGAATTGCTTGAACCGGAGAGACGGAGGCTGCAGTGAGCCGAGACTGCAGGGATTACAGGCGTGAGCCACAGCGACAAGCTGTGAAATTTTTATTTAAAAATCTTACCACAGGCTGGGCATGGTGGCTCACGCCTGGAATCCCAGCACTTTGGGAGGCCAAGGCAGGCGGATCATGAGCTCAGGGGTTCCAGACCGTCCTGGCGAACATGGTGAAACCCCGTCTCTACTAAAAATACAAAAAATTAGCTGGGCGTGGTGGTAGGCACCTGTAGTCCCAGCTACTCGGGAGGCTGAGGTAGGAGAATGGCGTGAACCCAGGAGGCAGAGCTTGTAGTAAGCCGAAATCTTGCCATTGCACTCCAGCCTGGGCAACAGAGCAAGGCTCTATCTCAAAAAAAAAAAAAAAAATCTTATCACAGACAGGGCATGGTGGGAGGCTGAGGGAGGAGGATCGCTTGAACCCGGGAGGTGGAGTTTGCAGTGAGCTGAGATCTTGCCACTGCACTCCATCCCGGGCAACAGAGTAACACTCCCATATATATATGGGCCCATTTCGTGCTGCAAATCTTAATGATGTCTGAAATGTTGCAACAGCAAAATTCAACTGAATTACAATACCACATACCTATCAGAACTCTGTGACTCAGAGTTCAGAACTCTCAAAACGCTTTGTGGTTTCTGGCAGCAATGATAGGAGCTCACTCTGGGATTGCCTCTCATGGATTCTTAAAACTTTTTTTTTTTTTTTTTTTTTTTGGCCATGGAAACCTTATGCAGTCCAATGAGAGCTATTTGAGATAATATTTTTGGATAAAACACATAAGATTACTAATGAAATCAATCACACTGAAAGCGGTTCTATCCCTGACCTTAAAGGGTCTGTGGACCTCAATTTTAGTACTCCTCAATCTCAAGATTACTTTGAGATTAAGAACTTAGATCTTACAAAGAGTTCATTAAATCATGTTTTCAGGGAGAAGCATTTTTGAGAAACAAAATCTAGGGATGAGAAAAAAGTCCAGGTAATTAAACACAGAGGAGGTGGTGAGGTATATGTGAAAAAGGAAACACTGATAAGCTTACATCAACATTAAAGGTTCTTTCTTTCAATTCTCATGTGCATGTGAATTTCCCGCTAAAACTGACTTCATTAAGCAAATTTGTTCCAAACTTTAAAAAAATTTTTAACATAAAAAAAAATAAGGTACCTATGTATCTAAACCCCAGAATAGTTTATTCACAAGTGAAAATGCGACTTTACTCAACTGCCACTGCCTCTGGGATCTCTCTATTGGGAGTTGCTAGAAAATACTGTGATGAGCTTGGGTATCTGGTTTTCCAACATGCCAAATTATTAGAAGTAGGAAGAGGTACTTCAAGGGCAGACACACTAACAGCAGATGAAGAACTGACGATGAGAAAAAAAAAAAAAAAAAATCAATAAAAAGTAGGTGCAGGAATGCAAAAGCATAACAGATTTCACCCACTAACACAAATTGTCCTACATAATTCAAGATTCTGGATGCACTATTCTGTTACCTCCAGGGTATAATAAACTTACCTAATAATAATTTTGAATCAGTAAGATAAAATGACAATGTGCTCAGAAGTCATTTCAGTGATTTCTGGGGAAGGCAGTGAAGATGAAAAGGGAGAAGCTGTGAAAGTTTACAAGAGGGCCAGGTTGAGAATCAGCCTCAGAATGAAAACACCCAAAATTGAATATTAACTTTACAAAAACACACTCTAAAAATTTTTAAAGAGAGACAAGCAGATATAAGCCTATTTAGAAAATACCAAGAACTCTAACCAAAATCTCCTAAAATGAATTCAGCAAGGTTGCAGATTAAAATAACACACATAAATCAATTGTATTTATAAATACCAGCAATGAACTGGAAGCCAAAATAAAAAGTTAAAACACCATTTACAATACCAAAAATTTAAAATGTTTAAAGGTATAAATTTATCTTGTGTAGGATCTATATGCTAAAAACTAATTCACAAAAAAATTAACACATCAACAATGGGCCTCAGTCAATTAACTAAACTTACAAACTCCTAATTCATAGCACCTAACACCACCTTGCAAACAGGGGTACATCATAAAATCTAAACAAACCACAAATCTTTCAAGTATGGTTTACTAGTTCTTGACAGTAATATCATTTCTGCTTTTAGGGGCTTTTAAGACTACAACTATTGATGGCCTTGAATTGCTACATAAAATTAAAAGCACAAAGTGAATGGGATAGCTTAGTGTTTCTGAAATCCTTCTAATGTCTTCTCCTACATATGCTATTTGATCATGAACTTATTAAGTCATTGACAACAGAAAATATTTAATTACTGATTGACTTAAACTTTGACCTACACTCCTCACCAATCTTTAATTCACTGAAGTGCTTCAGAAAAGAACAGGAAAAGGTATTTCTTACTTAGAGATATCTTTTTGATATCTTTGCAACCATTTGAAAAAGTAAAATAACCTCCACCTTTCAGTTGAAGAAATAAACTCAATTAAGGACCTGAGGTTAGAGAGAAAAAGGGGTTTGCTTAGTGAAGGGTTTCTCAACCTGGGCAATACTGACATTTTAGTGAGACAATTCTTGGTTGTAGGGGGCTGTACTGTACATCACAGGGTGTTTGGCAGTTCTCTCCATCCACTAGATGCCAGTAGCACCCTCTTCCCTGCCACGTTGTGACAACCAAAAATGTCTCTAGACTTTGCCAAATGTTTCCTGGAGAGCAAATTCATCCTGGTTGAGAACCACTGGCTTAGGATCTTAGAGTACACAGGACAAAACAAGGCTGGATAGTTTCTGGTGCTATAAGAAAGCCATAAAGGATGGGATACACGTCCTTTTTCTAGTAGTTTTTTAAACAAGGCCTCCAGCTGTCACATGAAAATGGGGTGGGGAGTGGTGCAAACAGTAAATATACAAAGGCCTAGTAGACATAATACTAAATAAAACACATCCACATTACACTGAAATGAGCCTTAATTGATAGGAATTGGTGCCTTAGTAATAACTACACTAAAAATTCAAGAGAGAAAGGTTAGACAGAAAGCACAGATTGTCTATCAGGGAGAATGGCAAAAGAAAGGAAATCACCAACTGAGAATAGAAAAGAAGACATGGGGACACTTTGCTGAGGCAGGGCTGTTTGCTTCCAAATGAAAAAACAGATGTTGTACATATGGGTATTTCTGAAAATTTATGTGCCATATGTTGTGCCTACCGTTAGGATTTACGAAACATTTTTAGAAGACCCATTTCATTTTAAAGAAGTCTCATTACTTCAAGTATCACTGTACAACCTACTTAATTCCAATATCCCATTCCTCTCCTGGACTCTACTGGAAATGAACTCCTAGAGGCTCCTGTGACTGCCTTTGAAAAAATCTAGTGTATTATTTTCTGCCTCACTGTGCAGTTATCCGTATTGTCTAAACGCATTTCTCCTAGTTGCCCTGCTGTACTGCCCAACCTATTTCTTCATCTTTAAAATGAAGAGGATCTCCAGTAGTCCCCACTTATTGCAAGGTTTCAGTTAACTGTCAACCATGGTCTGAAAATTATGGAAAATTCCAGAAACAAACAACTGATGTTGTAAATTGCATGCCATTCTGATTATCACTGATCACTAAAGAAACGCAAATCGGCTGGGTGCAGTGGCTCACACCCGTAATCTCAGCATTCTGGGAGGCCGAGGCAGGAGAACTGCTTGATTCCGGGAGGCGGAGGTTGCAGTGAGCCAAGATTGCACCACTATACTCCAGCCTGAGCAACAGAGACTTTGTTTCAAAAGAAAAGAAAAGAAAAGAAAAGAAAAGAAAAGAAAAGAAAAGAAAAGAAA